TAATATCATACGCGGATCAAAACTTCATGTTTATGTGCACAAACGAAGATTAGTACACATAGGAAAAGTATAAATTAAATCCCCCCTGGAAACGGAAAGCTCGATCTTGCTTCTAAGAAAATCCGGTGAGGGTGGGTGTGAGTTTTCAAGAAAAGAGGAGTGAATTAAGCTTACAAAATTATTTTTGTTTAAATTTGTAGCGTTTCCTGCCACAAAACATAGTAACGAACTTGTTCGACAGTAGTTTGTCTTACCACACCGAGAACTACTAGGTCTAATCAGATATGTATTGAGTACGCGCGACATTCTGCCACTTTTCTGTGTCGAGCTGAGCGACAAAGATGTCCAGACAATGTCTTTCAGCAGTCGAATATGAAAGGAGTCGGAAATTAGCAGCAGAGGGATTGTCGCGCGAGGCGTTAGCAAACATTTTCAATTTCAGTAAGGTCACCCTGTTGAGAATAATTGATGATAGAACTGTACCCAGAAATAAGCAGGGTGACCCATAACGATCTCTTGCGCTTGGTATTAATTTTCATTATTTCTCTCATTTCATGCATCCCCTTCATTAAGCACCCCTGTATTTAGCCTTATATAAGCGAGTTGTACTGTGGCCAATTTCTAAAATTCTAGTTTTCAGAGGAAATTTATTATTTTTACGTTAACAAATATTAATTTGCAAACCCATTTTATCTTCTGTTTAAGAACAGTCATTTCTTCATTGCCGTAAGAATTTGGGGAACGTAGTTTGGGTGAATTTTGCGTTTGGGATTTCCTACTGCATGCCCGTGTCATCTGCATACGATATGGCAGAGGGGTTGGAACTGGGCAAAGGGACAAAAGATGGCAAGACATTGATGCATGTGATTATAAGTGGCACCAGTAGGCACTAAAACCCTTTATGTTCTAATGGTCAGGGAGATGTGCCGAGGTAAAATAGGCGAAGACTGAGGGTTCCAAAATCGGAACGCAGAGGAGACAAATAGTTGGAAATTGCTTTTACTGAGACGGAAATCACACAGGAAGCTCGGTAGGTAGGAACAGGTAGCTATTTTACCAGACAGGTGTAGGCCGAAATGTAGGCTACCGAATTTTGTCCGGCCGGGGTCAACCGGCGAATAGACAAATACCGATTGGCGTCACGGCGTTGCATGCTGGAGTTTGGGTCACGCCCGTTAGGCAGATCGGAGACGGCATGTGCAAGCGGCGACGCTGACGAGCGGGTATCTCCATACGTGGGACAACTAATCAAAGATGGTAATGTTGACGCGTTAGGCAGATTTCGCAGTGTGGTACTATTCAATTCACACTTCGGAATGATATTTTCGTCGCAAATATAGTTAAAGTCGTAACCCTGGTTGCTGAGATGGTAAATCACAATCCTGCTAGTACAACTACGAAGTCTGGAAACGGAAACATAATTTAAGCCAAACGCCTGTGTCAAACAGTTGCTGTAACAGGCATGCCGTAGGACCCGGAGGAATGCTGAAAATGTAAAAAAATATGGAAGTAGGCAGCCTTACTCCAAACGCTCCATACAAGCATTTGGTCTTTTGCATTTCCTTAGCATTCGTATATCAAATGGATAAAACAGTGACGGTAACAGACAGGTGCGAGGAAAAACGGAAGATATAGTCTTTGCGTACGTTCAGAAGGCCAAAGATGAAGACATAAAGTCGGCTTCAGCCGTGTTTCCCAGGTTCCGAATAGTCTATCCTAGAGTGTCACACGAATTGTTCAAAAACTTTCCACCACGTCGACTCACTTAGGAAGCCACAACTCCAACTAAAAAAAACAGCACAAAGCTTCCCTAGCACGCTTTACGACTTCCGTGTTCTGTGTCATTGAGTCATTTGACTAGCTGCAAGATTATTCCCATATTTGGGCGCAACGAACTTCGTCGAATAAGAAAAAATGCAAACTCGACGTCCAAGAAACAAATCGCGGTTCGTTTAAGCGGGCTGACGAGGCGTGCGAAAGGTACCCGCCGAACGTATGTCAGATAACAGTTAATAGTATTCATATTGGTCCAACTGGGAAAAACTCGGAGCCTCGGTGGATTTCGAAACCACGCGGTAAGTTGAAGGCTTTAGTACAGCCAACGCTCTAACCACTTGAACAACGAGGCCCCGCCGGACGACGCGAGTTTAATTACATTTGGTATGTTTGAAAACTATAGGAAGCGCATGGCTTAATAAGGATGGTGGTATGTACGGTATATAATTGTCGAGTACTAAGTCAGAGCGACGTCTCAGCAACAATGATTCGGCCGCCGAGCCCAGTTTGTCTACAGAATGCCATTACTGTGACAGGGATTTGTAAAGGCGGAGCGAATGGGTTGGGGTTTTAGGGTTCGAACCTGCATTCTGAAATCACAGGTCAAGTTATGTTCTGCTCGTTGTGCCATGCCCAAAGAGAATTTAAGGGAGTTGTCCCTGGCTTGATAGCATTTAATATGAACGGAAAGCCGAAAATGAGATGGTGGTAAATGCAGAACTAGCAACTAGATAGCGTCGTCGGAAAAACACCGTGAACTAGATGCATCTCATCGTTGAGCATGGTTGATAAAAAAAGTCATTAAGCAAAACAATTAGTCTGCGAAGACCGACAGAGTCTATTGCAGAGCATTGATCACCGACACGGCAGGAAATAGAGTCGCCTGTTTTCTGCATAATAAGAAGTACAATACTGGACAAAGTCACTCACGCAAAATAACCTACCACTTTAGGCATGTTGAGACTACAGGCTGAGATAAATTTGTGTTGATTTTACGCTGTTCCCGAAGGAGATGAGAAAGCATTCGCCTCGATGTGATTAGATTTACTCAAAACGACATGTGAGAGTGGAATTTTAAACTTCGATTTCGCACTCTGAAATCTTATAAAAGACATCATTGTGATTGTGCCATATATCCGATTTTTACAAGTTGAATAACTCTGGTGTAATTAAGATAAGTATGACATTTAGATATGTTGAGAATTCAGTGTTGATCTCTGCGTCCCTAGTAGTCACATAAGGCTGCTCTAACGATGCCGTAATTGTGATGCACATAACTTTTATGCCGTGTTCACAAATATTCATTAAAAATAAGAGCCAGTGTGTAGAGTCCGACAGAGGCCGGTAAAGGGTAAGGCCAACGATGTGACTGTAACCGTATTCAGCACTTTTTGAAAGCATACTAGTGGATAAGCGAGGTAGAGTGGATTCCGCTCAATTAGGCAGCACGTCCTGGAGTGATAAATCAAAGGTTAAGTTTGCAATGCTGTTGCCTGATCTCTAAAAAAGCTTACCAGCTGAAGGTCATTAGTGGTATACGATCTAATTTGAGCGCCATGCCTACAACTGAATGGTGGATCTCAGTTTAACCTGATGAAATTGCAGGTAAAAAACTGCGTGTTGAGAGCGAAATTTAAAGATCGGAGGCTGCAACCTGAAACGATAATTTCAGCTGAATTTTCTTTGTTTTTAAGCTTTTCCTGATGAGAATGCAACGGTATTACCACCGACGTAGTAAGAGTTAATAAGTTCTATTGTATGCGATTAGTTATTATATCTGAATTTTGTCTTTCGGAAGTACAGGTAAAATGGATTCGTCATTTTACATAAGCCGTGCCTAAATTGTACACAGGCCGAATTCACCTGGACCAGCAAAAATTTATGGGATCTGCATGCCGGCAATTTAGCGTTTAGTGAATGTGGATATTATATCAAATTCCTGCGTCGGAGGGAGATCATACCAAGAATGTCGCTACTTGAGAAACTTGGTTCCAAAACATTTCAAAAAGCGTTTTCAGATGGAATTTTCGCGGCTAAGTAGGCGCAGAAAAATTACGCGTCGCGTTCCTTCTCTTATATTGCAGTGCTAATCCTGAATAGCGCGCCACCGAGATGCCCGTGATATTATAACATTTGAAAAATAATGCCTTAGAAATGGCTCCGGGATTTCGCTCGACGTACCGAAATGTTTGACTTATTGTTTTTCGTCGCACCGGAAGATCGTGGAAGCGGACAACCACAAGAGTGAACAAATGTACCCAACCCGACAAGATGAGTGTAAGATTTATGAGCTTGAATTGGTGTTCTGTATTAATGAGTTAGACCTTGACTGTTGTTTGGTCGTGTGCAAACTGCGTGCTAGAGGAGTGTCACTGACACTGTTAGGAATAACTAAGACGCATGACGGGGATTAGATTACTGGGGCCGACAGATGAAACTGACGTTTAGGGCTAAATTTACATGCATAAATACGACGTTAGGAGGAATATCCGAACTAAATTGAGAACAATATTTGCCTACTTGCTTAATTTATATTTCGTCTGGTCAGATATCAATAAGTGTTTCGACAGGTAAACCCTAAGGCCTCTTGTGTCATCTAGGGTTTAGGTGGCATAGATTTTAATAGCACACATGATATCAAAATGCGGTCTATGAATGCACGTTGAATGAATAAAACCCGTACTCTCGCTCAGCGGTCAATTGACGTTATTATAATGTTACTTTCACGTTGGCAATGAGTGCTTGCTTACATGGCATTATCCTTGCCTTAGGCCGGTATTCGCTCATTAATTCACGTTTCCTTTCATTCGCACGGCCTCACTATCCATTGGAGTTAGTTTTAGTTTATTTTTAATGGTCATGAAGGTCATTTTACTGTTTAAACTTCAGTGCTTTTATCAAGTTATTCTTAACAGGGCGGACTGTCCTTTCGTGACTTGCCTTGAATTTGATAGCCGTCCATAGTACCTTAATGCCTATCCTGAGTTCTAAACTAGTGCAGACGCCAAGTGTAAAACAAAAAGAAATTAGGGAGGTTCAAATTCACAATGGAAGACTGTCCTCCAGACCTTGCTGTGCTCTGCTGTTTGCTTTAAACTAACTATTAGACGGTGGGATCTTTTAAAAAATTAATTTCCGCCAATGAGAGGGCTCGCCTTTTCGGACTTTACCACATGAAGGCAGGTTCGAGATGTTCTTAAGTCTCAAGTCGGCGAAGAAGAGCTATGGAACTTGAAAACATTGTTGCGAACACAGTTTATATTAAAGCCAAAGAGAGTATGGGATGAAGTGCTGATTCAAATTTTTTCAGGTGGGACTAATAAAGACAAAGGCCGGAGTAAAAAGTGGAGGGAAATATTGTCATTCCCCCACATTTCCATTGCCAGACGTATTTTAAGGACGATCGGTTTGTCACGTTGTCGTTTTAATGTTGTAGAGGTGTCTTATGACTACATAGTTCTTGGACAACCCATTGGCAAGAAACAGTTTTGGCTGTTCTGCTCGTCCAAACCGGCTCTGAATAACTTAGTGAACTTTTTCGATGCTATTGTAATTGTATTTTACCTTATTATTTTGTATTAGGAGCGGTACGAAGTTTGTCCCAACGACGCTGGCATTTCAATCGCCAAAGATATTTTTGCTCTATATTTATCCCCAGAGGTTTGCTCACATTATCTGGCTATTTCCTGCATCATCAGTCGAAATCCCGAATTAAGCAATTTTCAGATGAAGAGTTGGCTACGGTTGAGAGTCGGATAAAGCAGCTGACGCTAAACACACCGCCACCAAGAGACCTTTTTAATAATCTCCACAGGTTCGTTTCATACCCGCCCAGCCTAATTATCTTCCAGTATGGCGGAGCACTGGCTAAGAACTACCGTGTTTATCGCGTTCACAAAATCAATATACTTTCAGCGATATCTCCAATGGAAATGGCTGGAAAGGTTAGCAACTTTTGCCCGAGTTTATGCTGTCTACATTAATGACGGGATTTCTTGCTGTGCTCCAGTATACATCAGCACATTTGCAAATAGTTGTTTTAAGCCTATTAAATCCTGGATGTCGGGCCTTTCGGCCTTGTTCTGTGTCGACCTTTTGCCTTTTTTCTTTTCAGACGACCAGTCACAAAGGATACATTTAGGATGTATAGAGTTCTCGGCAAAGGAGGCTTTGGTGAAGTTTGTGCATGCCAAGTCCGTGCAACCGGTAAACTTTATGCCTGCAAAAAACTTGAAAAGAAGCGAATCAAGAAGAGGCGGGGTGAACAGTTAGCATACGCCGAAAAGAAAATTTTACAGAAGGTCAATTCGCGTTTCGTTGTGAGTTGAGGCTTACATACCGTTTGCAATCTTCCATTATTCGTTTTTGTCGTCCCTAGGAACATCACTATTGAAAATTACAGATAACTTACCTTTTCGCCATACCTCATACAAAGACATTTCCGCAAATTATACGTTATTTCAATCCGAAGTCTATTGTAAAAACAAAATAATGTAAGAGCCGTTTTACACTGGTTTTTGGGTATACTCTTTTTTAGTCCATATTACTATACGGAAACCGTTCGGATTCAACAACAATTGTATTTAAAAAAAATTCTGTTTTGCTCTTTCCTAGTTAATATCAACTTCAAGATCCGATTAGAAGCATGCTGAAATCTTTTTTCTCCCATGGACCTTGTATGAAAATATTTCTTATTGAGGACAAAGACTGAACTTCGCTGTGACAACTGTTGATTCTGAACTTGTGACATGCGCGCAGCTTCAGGAAATGTGAATGGAGTCATATGTCTTGGTCGACACTATTCTAGGGGATAAATTTTGTGTAATATTTAGACTGTCGTTACGCCATGTGTAGCACCTAACCGTCCTTTTAACCACTTGCCATTCGCAGCTGAGCGTAGGACGTAACATGTTCCTCCTGGAGGACCGACAGTTTTTATAGTCATGATAATACTATCTATGAAGGGATGTCTTGAGAGTGTCAGAGCTGTCTTACAGGTTAGGCTCACCCACAACTCCAATCTCCTACCGGACTGCTTTCTTAGCCAGACTGCCAGATGCACAAATTCTAAATTCAACCCACTTTCTCGTATTGACATTTACATTGGTTGGTTTAACCTACAGCGTCCACGAGTGTGAGCCCCGCCTTACGATCGCCAACTAGACCACTAGCAGTCGTCATTCTTTTGGATCTCAATTCCAAAAAAATTAAAGACCATCAGGCCCGCATAATAATCTCTAATTTAAATAAAACGTGTCCGCCCGATTTTCCAGTTTAGCACAATATTAGCCACCCCAAATTGAACGGATTCACAGAAATGGCGTCGTGGAATAGCCCTCCTTCGGGTTAGCGGAGTGCACGACTGAATTGTTTGATCCGGCGACCATTTATTGTAACGCCAGAAGGTGTCCTTTATCGGCAGCGGAGTTTACTATCCGAGGCGCTCTTTACTGACAGGAACCGTAGACATAACTTGTCATGCATTTCGACCCATCTTAGGTTAGCTGTGCGTAACCGTCACGCTTCGCGCCATAGAGCAGTACGACTTTTGTCTCAGTCACGTACGTACGAATCCTTGTTTTCTGCGGAATCTTGCCGCAATACCACAGGCACTGCTTGCGTCGGCAGAACATGTCCCAAGCGATTTGTACTAGGTGATTTATCTCTCGATATTAACTCTTCGGTTAGCAGAGGGGCTCGTGGTAGACGAAATATTTCACCACATCAAGCCCCATGCCTTCCATGCCATGGCACCTTTGACAGCGCGAAGGCATAGAACGACACATAGCCTTTCCCAGCGTCTAGTTTCAGGCAACACCTGCGTGATGCGTAGAAATTTTGATCACGGCAAACCGCGTTTAGAGTAAATTTCTAAATAAGGCGATGTAGACATAGTCAATGTCCGGACGTGGAGATTCTGTTCTAAATAGTTAGACGACAAAGCCGGTACTGGGGGAAAATCGCCCTGGCGTTCCCTTGTTCGTGCATCCTTAGCAAAGTAAAACGGTTCAGGAGGACGTTCACGATCTTGCAGCAACTTTGTCTTAGTTGATTCCTTTCTGGTTTCGACATTACGTTTGGTTTCCCTTCGTGAACGAGGACGGCAGAACGGCATCGCTGCAATCATGTGGGAGACATTTAGTGTGTCATACCCGGAGAACTGCCTTATCAGACCTTTCGCCTCCTGAATTCAACCAACAGAGGGTAGCCCGCGTTTGCGATCACAGAGGGACTTCGTAATAGAAGTACCGGTGGGTGCATCCAGAGATGACGAGTTGGTCTACTTGGGGACTTGTCCTTGCCAGCGCAACAGTCGCGGGCCGCAGAATTCTTCTTCAACAAACCGACGGAGCTTCCTTGTGTGCAAGTGCAACATCATACCTGG